TATTTTCATTCCATTAATGACATTCTTGTTTTCAATGTGGTACGAACATTCTGGAAAAAAAAATTATTGTTCGATTTTCTAAAAATGTGTACTAGACATGGTAGCTTATTATTTTTGGAAATGAGAGCAGCTTAAAGTATATGGAGACCCTACCAATTAACTTCTCTTATGTGGTCTTTATTTGGTCTGTTAAATATACCATTGAAAGTGTTTTATTTTTTTTTATATTTGTTTGCTATGTGAAAAAAAGCCCCCTTTGTACATGTCAGAAATTCAGTGCTGTCCTGTGCATGCTTCCTGTGTTATCTCAAGGAGTCTAATTAACCCTCCTAGGTTTAGGGCTTTTTTACACCAGACAGCCACTGTGTGCACTGGGGGGAGCAGTGCCTATGCACCACCCTGTTTTTCTTTCTTTCTCGGTATTGAAACGTCAAAGTAAAATTTTATAAAGCTCTATTCACACAGCAAACTACTGCATCTCAACTTCCTGCACTGGAAAAAAATACTAAATGCAATGCAGTGGTATAAATTGACACCATCAGAAACAAGGTCTTTTGCCTTGTCTTGCACAGGGCACAGGGCAAGACTTCCCTAAACAACCCCCCCATCCCCCCCAACCAGTTATTTGAAGATCCATGTTATGCAATACCATCCAATTATACAAAAAAAATATATAATATATACATACACACACACAAATGTGTTGCCTTGCATTTCTATTTTAAACTGAATGGGTTGGTTTACAAGGTGAGGGTTCGCATACATTTTAATCTTGGGGCTACAGAATGGTTTGTCTCTATGTTGTAGAGAATAAGATGGGGTAGAGTTTGAGAAGTTTAGCAAACTCGAGAAGAGGAGGCTTAAGGCTGCTCTGTGCAAAACCATTGCAAAGAGCAGGTAAGTATAACATGTTTGGTAAAAAAAAATGGGCCTTTAATGTTGCTTTGAAGTGATTGTAAAGGATTTTTTTTTTTATTTTTAAAAAATAACAAACATATTATACTTACCTGCTCTGTGCAATGGTTTTGTACAAATCAGCCCCAATCCTCTTCTTCCCAGGTCCCCCTCCAGAGCTCCTCGCACCCTCCTTCTGGGTATCCCCCCTAGCAAGCTACATGCTATAGGGGCACTCATATGTGCCCGCTCCTGAGCCCCGCTCAGCGTGTCCATAGACAGCAGCAGCCAATGAGGAGAGAGAAATTAGGGAGCCTCTGCTCTCGTGCACATTGCTGGATCAAGTTCGGGCTCAGGTGAGTATAAGGGGGGCTGGAGGGGAGCTGCATGCAGAAGGTTTTTAATACATAGAATGCAGGTAAAACAAACGTCTGCCTTTAGCACCACTTTAAGACTGCTAGCTGAATGAAAAAAAAACTGACAGTATGTGGCCAGCCTAAAATTCTGTCCCATTATACAAGAAGGCATGCAATAAGTAGAGTTAATAAGCAGTTGGGAAAGCTTGGGCTACTTGTTGCAGGCAGTTTTGTTTTTCTGTTTATCCTTCCTTTTTTTCTTGTACTGGCCATTGCTGATAATCAGTTGTGCTCTCTGTGTTTGTGGGTGTGTCCACTGAGTGTTTATCAGTAAAGTTGGGAAGCAAAATAATTTACACGAGTCATACATGTTACCCTTCAACAGTTCTAGAAGATTTTTCCCCTCAGTTCAGTTTCAACTAAGTACACCAACTGCATAGAGTTTGTATGAGCTTCCTCCATGTGCTTTTTTTTATATTCAGAACATAGCAGGTGAACTGATTCCCTAGACTGGCCCTACAGTGCATGGGTGTGTTTGACTGGGTTATTTGATTATAAGGTCTAAGGGCCAGGAATGATGTTCTGTGTTCTCCGCAGAGCATCACTTTCATGCAAGTCAAACAAATATGTAATTGTTCTCAGATCACTTTAGAAGTTTTTTTTTTTAAAAAGCAGATAATGATCACGTAGGCCAATCTTGTCACACAGGTCATACCTGTGAATGTTGGCTCTACTGCCACTTCGCATAGGAATTCAGTATAACGTTTTGTGATTATATCATATTACAAGACCTCATCCCTCCTACCCACATTGCAGATTTCTCAGTGCTTCAAAGTACAACTCAAAACTCCTGTAAGAAAGTCTGATCAAAACCCAAATCCAGTTACAATGTGATTCACCCTCATCAATTACCTTTACCTTCGCTGACCGAGCCAAATCCTCCTTCAATTTTGTTTCACACACTACCCCTCCCAGACACTGCAGCTCACAGTGGGACAGTTGTAGCAATAGAGGCAGTGCTGCCAATCCTGGAAGCAGTGGGCAGAACTAGGTGTGGCCAGATGCTGATTGACAAGCTACAGGCCTGTAAATCATCAGTGACAATGCTGATAGCCATGCCCTCTGCAACATATTCTAATCTTACTTTAGTTCAAGCAGGCACTGCCTACGTGAGAGTGGCAATTCTGCTCTGAATTCAGTGCAGCATCCTTGCCACGCCATCACAGAAAGTTAAAAAAAAAAAAAAAAAGTTTTAAAGCAAGGCAAAGCACCAAATTTACTTTCCTGTGACCCCCACCAGTAGCATATGTACGTTCTTTCCCTTTACTCTTCTAATACTCTGGCTGCTGGGAACAAAAAAATGCTACCAATTCTGAGTATGGGGAAATAGATGACTTAAAGCAGTTCTTCGGTCTATGCTGCAAAAATCAAAAGTCAGCAGCTGCAAAAACTTTTTATTTCCCAAAATGTGGGAACATATTTAGGTGCTTGCAGCAGCTTATCGTTCATTTGTGGCAGCACATGAGTATTGTTCCCTTTAAAAACTGTATTTGCTGATTTTAATAAACAGGCACTCACCTGTCCAAGGAATCCAGCACTGTCCTCACCTGGTCCGGTTTCTTCACCGGCCTTCAGTCCCCGGCATCTTAACTGTGAGCAGCCAGTTGTGACTCTTTGCGTCTTCACAACTGGCGGCTGCCCACTGCGCACGCGTAAGCTGCGCTTAGTGAGTGGTCCCACAACTTGTGATGTGCTCCAGAAGGACGCAGGTGGGGGAGAACTTCCACTTGGATCGCTTAGGTGATCTGAGCGAAAGTAGGAGCAGGTACCTGTCAAAACAAGGTACCTGCTCCCCCCCCCCCCCTCCCCTCCAAAAAAATGAGTGCCAAAAGTTAAAGCAGAGGGGAGAAGGAACTTCCCATTTTGAGTGAAGTTCTACTTTAATTCCCTAAATCCCATGTGACCGCACCAGTAGTTGGCTGCTCAGTCACATAGCAGTGGTCTGAGAGTCCTCTAATTTGTGTAAGCTCTACATTAGTGATGATTTCTGGTGTGTTTGGACGCAAGTCCAAACCTGCCTGAGCTATTCTTCTGGGAGGCTGTCAAAGCCAACATCCAATCATAGGCAGTGGAGGCATTCCCTGCCCTGCAGCCACATGTATACAGGGGGAGTGCAAACGTACTGCTGCTTGGCAGGGAAGGCCTATGATTGGCTTAGACAGTTTCCCAGCAGGATAGCTCAGTCTGAACCCACCTGAGCTCATCCTTACTCCAATTGTGACTTTTGTTAAAGAATTGATTTGAGTTGACCAAGCATTTGAATGGAGTCCAGTTGTTATCTGTTATGTGCATGTTAAGAGTTGGAAACCCTTCCAAATAACTGCCTAGATGGGCCCAAATTCAAATAATGAACCTCTGTTCCCTGTGGAACTGCCCTTTAACAAATGTCCCTTTCTTTAACCGACTTTTGTCATGTAGACATGTACCAAAGTAGTTAAGGTGAAAGCCTTGCCATAAGAGCAGCTCAGAGAAATTTTTGATGACTGCGCCATAATAAACCATTGATGTCAAGCGGCGTTTTTATGATAAAATTAGCACTTTTAGGAAAATGAATCTATAAGTCTTGGCCATTCGCGTTGAAGTTGTTAAATACCCGAGCAAGAGAAATATTGTTTTGGAAAAAAAAATTGAGAGGTCCGAGAAGAAATATATCGATTAAAACATTTTGAGTTAATTAAAAAAGAAGGGGGGAAAAAGGTTTGCATAAATGAATGTGGTCATTTGAAATGACTTTATGGGAAGACCTGTTAAGGGTTTTGTCACAGGGTAAACCACATTTAAAATGCCATCTGTCAAGGACAGATTTTATACACTATGTCTTCAGAGTTACTGACTGAGATGGGTGTTTATCTGGGATGTTACTTATTTTTTCATTTACTGCTTTTTTTTAAAAGCAAGTACAGTTTATAATTGATGCTAATACAATTTATATGGCAGTAAATATCAAAGAAAAATGAGGAAAGCTTTATAGTTGAAGACTAACACAATCTAAAAGTCATATCTTGGTTAAAGCGGAACTCTGGCCTGCTGAGACAGCACAGAGAGTCAGCTATGTGTAGCTGGGAATCCTGGCCTTCTGTATTACAGGTGCTACAGTAGGTGTTCACAGAACACCAGGTTACTTGAAACTAGAGGATTTTATAGAGTTGGGTTTTCTGCAGTGCTAACATAAAAAATGAACGCCTCAGATAAGAACTTTTAATTTTCAGAGTTATGAAGTATATGCAAACCCTAATGGGATGACATTCTCTGTCAGCCACTTCCTGTCTATATGCACTTGCTCTCATCATTGCTCTCTACTGGCTTCCTAATAGTGACAATGGTGGACCATGTCTACACAGTGTTAGTGCAGCAGCTATCAGGGGCACATGTGACAGGGTGACAATGTGGGAGCATCAGTTGCAGACACAAATGGGTTGATTTACTAAAACTGGAGAGTGCAAAATCCAGTGCAACTGCTTATGGTAGCCAATCAGCTTCTAACTTCAGCTTGTTCAATTAAGCTTTGACAAAAAAACCTGGAAGCTGATTGGTTTTTATGCAGAGCTGCACCAGATTTTGCAGTCTCCAGTTTTAGTAAATCAAATTATCTAATCAAGCATTTATTTCAGGATTGCCATTATTTATTTAAAACATTTTAAAAACAATTTTAAAAATTAAATTACTACATTAAAGTGTTACTAAACCCAGGACCCTGCATTCACTATATCTGTTCTCCCACAGTACACACTACATGGAAATCCAATTATTTTAGTAAATATAAACTGCTAAATACCTTTTCTCATCAGCAGTTGGAGCAGTCTTGTGACTTATATCAGTGTCCAGAAGAGCACATGTTAAAGCATGTAGGAGAAGTTTTCTTTCTGCTCTAGGAAGATGTAGAACCCCTGACCTCTGTCTGGGCAGTGCTGATTGGCCCTGTGCTGATCACATGCACCTTCCCAAGAAAAAAAAAAACCTCTCTAGCAATACACACTAAACTGAGACACTGGAAGAAGGGGAGGATCAGAGAAGTCAGGATCAAACAGCATTTTTAAATAATGCAGAAGATTAACTCTTTAGGTTCCACAGTGAGTATAACAGGCATACTTTACTGCATATACAGACTGATTGTACTGTTGTGGGTTTAGTAACACTTTAACTTGTTACAGTAACCCTGACACAACAGGGTCACTTATTAAAAAAAAAAGACAGCCCTACAAGAAGAGCATCTATACTTACCATTCTAGTGGCATTAAAGCAGAAACACGGCCACTGTAATGCTGCCCAGGCACTGTAGGAATTTCACCCTTCAGGCTGGGTCGTGTACCTGATCCTCCTGCTTCATTCATTGGTTCCTTTTACTGACTTGTGTGGCCTATAGTTACATAAAGGCCAGCAGGAGGCACCGTGCAAGAAGGGGGGGGGGACGACAGGTTTTCACACACCTGGAAGAGTTGAATACCTGCAGCAGCCAAAGACAAGAGAAACATGTGCTGGAGATAGGCTGCCAGTAAAGAATAGCTTTTTTTTTTTTTTTTTTTTTTTTTTTTAGCTTTATATAATATTTTTTCTGTGAACTACTTTACAATATACTTTGGCTGTAGTAGTCAGTACTTCTGCCTTTCCTCACTGAGGTTGGAAATTTAAGTCCTGGTCAAAGCACTGCATGGAATTTAAATAAATACATATGCATGGAGTTTGCATGGTCTCTTTTGCTTGCGTAAGTTTCATCCATGTATTCCAGTTTTCTCTCACACTTCAAGACATGCTGGTAGGTTAATTGGCTCATGACCAAATTAGTCTTTAGTATGTGTATGTATGCATGAATGTGAGATGGGGAACCTGTAGTACCTGTAATAAATACATAATTTACAGTATTCCTCTTACAATAATACAGGGTAGTAAGAGATGCCTTGCTTCTTTCTCTTTGAGTTTGCAAATAATCACATCGTTGCACAAAGTAGTTTTCAAATCTGCGCGGCATTTGAGCTGTGTCTTTCATGCGCTGAATTGCTTCTCGGTTCCGTTTTGGACTGGGTAAAGCATCTGCCCAGATCAGCAATAACAATGGAAATAGCCGCGATCACGAACTGAACTCCTCTAAGCTTTTAATTCCATAGAATTTATTGCTGGCTGTATTTCCATGAATTTATAACGCTTTGATTCTTAAGAGCCCCATTTAATCAGTTTTGCCTGGCACGGAACATAATAAACAACTTTTCGGCGTTAAAGTGCCACATGAGAGAGGTTGCTAACAAGGAAGTTAAGTGTTTCTGCCACTAGCAGTTTTTCACTGTATTTTTCATGAGCTGTTACTAGCAGTAATGTACTTTGCAGGCTTCCGAGCTCCGCTTAAACATTGTGATAAGCTGCACAGCCCCCGGGCTCTTTTATAGGTATCACCGAAAGCGGCTCCTCGGTGCAGGCTGACTGATCATTGACATAGTGTTTGCTGCTACAGCGTTCCAATAAAACTTACCATTGTTAGATGTTAAAAATCTCTTTTTACAGAGAATTTCCACCTTTTTTTTTTTGAGAAATGTCATTCTATAATAAAGGGCAGTGAAACGATAAATGCTGCAAATAGTATTTGTTACCTTGTTTGTTCTGTTGCTTCTGTACAGGCTCTTTTAAGGATTTATTGTGTTCAGATGAAAGCAGTCAACAGTTTTTTCAGGGCCTTGAACATGATTCTAGAATGCTTTCATACATCTGCAGCTCTGAAAAGTGAAATTTAAACATTAACAACTCGACAGAATGGATTTTTCTGGAGGCCATAGAAGCATAATGGAGCACAATAGTTACATAGTTATTTAGACTGTATAAAGACACATGTCCAGTTAAAAAAGCTGAAATAGAAAAAAAAAATGTAAACCTGCATATACTGAACCCTAAACCCACCGTTGATCCAGAGGAAGGCAAAAAAAAACATATAAAGCATGATCCTATTTGTTTGAATAGGGAAGAAACTTTTTCCCGGTTCCCCGAAAACCGTCTTTCTCAACCTTTATACCTCAGAGGAGCCCCTAAAATTATTTTTGGGTCTCATGGAACCCTTACTGAAAACAATTAATTGGAGGTCAATGGCAAAAATGCCTCCTACATTTAGTAGGAAGAATGCAGCCTTTAGTGTCGTGGTCAAAAGACACTTGGGGGTTTATTTACTAAAGCTGGAGAGTCCAAAATCAGACTCCCTTCTGCATAGAAACCAATCAGCTTCTAACCTCAGCTTGTTCAATGAAGCTTTGGCAATGAAACCTGGAAGCTGATTGGTTTCTATGCAGAAGGGAGTCTGATTTTGGACTCTCCAGCTTTAGTAAATAAACCCCTGGTGTTAAACTGCTGGCTTTGCCAAAAAGGTGTTGGTCCTGAAACTATGCAGGCACCATCAAATGATAGCCCAAGGAACCCTCAGGGACCTCTAGAGGAACCCTTGGGTCCCACAGAACCCTGAATAAGAATGGTTAAAGTCCTTAGATCAACAATCTACAGTGTTAGTACTTTGCACAAAATGTAACTGGCTAATAATATTGCTGTTAGAAACATGCTCAAACTTTTTTTGAAACCTTTAAAATTGGCTAGAGTTGGCTCCCATGAAAGTTTATCCAACAATTTTACAGCTCTTACTGCAAAGAAGCCTTTCTGAATACAGAAGGCAAACATCTCCAGACACGAAGAGTGACCCCTTGTAATTTTCAATTACATTAAAGGGAACACCTTTTCATCAAGTTTACTGTGTGGACCATGTTTGTCAGGTGTCCAAGTTATCTTTCATTGCACTATTCATCAGTTGGGAAACATAGAAACAAGGGTCAGCCAATGGGCAGCCTCAGGTGACTCAGATTGTCATTTACTGCTGCAAAAAGTACAAAAATGTCCTGGAGACATTTGTACCTCATAAGGCAGCCTTCTCCATGATTCAGTATGCTGCAGAACAAAGACCACAACATAGCTGAGGTCTACATTCATCCAGTTTGTTCCTATTACATCACAGTTTCCTAATTTTATGAGCTGTAAACTGGGATACATTTTATGTGTTTTTCCTGAACAGTACAAGCGAGTAATCACAGATTCTTCCAGAAGCCTGAGGCGTTGTATTTACTTGGGGGACTCCTTGCAGCAGAGCTTTGGGCTGAGCAGTGCTGTAGTTGTTGAGGGACTACAGTGCCTCCATTTCTACCTACAGTCTGGCAGTACGTATAGGAATCTGTAGTCCTACCAAGGACAACATACCCTAGTGTATAGAAATTACATTTAAAGGATATGTAAACCATAAAGCCTAGTACACACAATCAGAAAATCGGATGAAAACTGTGCTTTCGAAGTGATCTTACGATAATCTAATCTTTAGTACACCACTTTCGTCCGAAGTTATTAGAAGGGACAAACATGAGAAAAATGTTCTTACTATGCCAGATCGTAAAATGTTTGTTTAATAAGCACAGTATTTGTCCAAACAAAATCAGAAGAGCAAGACCACGCATGCGCAGAAAACTAAAGAATACATTACAGTACAATACAATACATTACACCACTTCCGAAGTTGTATTCTGTCATACAAGAATTTTTGTAACTTTAGTAAACTCTTTATTTTCGATATGAGACTAGCATGCAAAAAAAAAGGACGATCATTCGTCTGATATTCTCCTCGTATGTGCCAGGTTTAACAATGAGCTTCATTCTCTTATTTGCTCCCTTTGCTGCAAATAAAAATTGACAGAAATTAACAGAAATTCAAGATACATGTAACTTCCCATGCACTGAACTAAAATCTCAAACAATGGTATCCGCTCTTACCAGTGTTCTTTTGTGAACTACAGAACACCTCTCACTATGTTGTTATAGAAAGGGGACAATACTTAACACAGTAAGTACCGTGAATGGGAGTTGTCACCCTAGGAAAGGAAATGTGTTATCTTTCAGGATCTCCAGGGAAAGAAAGGGAAAAAATTACCAGTGTTGGAGAGCCATACAGGGAGAGCAGTATAAATCTTATGTATCTAGTGCACCAGTACACCAGCTGCAGCATGGCAGAAAAAGAGCATAATCTGTTAGATTGTAAGCTCTTATGAGTAGGGCCCACTTAATCCTCTTGTTTTAACTGTATTGTAGCTGTACTGTCTCCCTTTATGTTGTAAAGCGCTGAGCAAACTGTTGGCACTATATAAGTCCTGTATAATAATCTGTAGAATGATGTATAAGAGGGGAGGCATTATGTTGGATTTATAGGGGGGGCTGAAGGTGTTTATCGTAACATAAGCTGGCCCTGCAACAGCTGGAATTTCACTGGATTTACAGGAATTCGAGCAGTAGGTGGCTCTACTGACACCACCCATCACAACACATTTCAAATAAGAAATCAAAGGAGCCAGCTGGAAAAAAAGATGGCTGAATAGTGACTGCAGCCAATCAGCAGCAGTCACTTTTCAAGTATCCTGACAGCCATGGGGGCCAGCTGTAAAAATAAAATAACCAGCATCAGCAGGGATTTCATTCATACATGCCATTTAGCTAGGGTAGGAGAATATATAGATTTCTCTTGTGCAGCCCAGCAGGTGGGAGAGGGCCTGTGGCAGTCTGCAGAACTATGAACGTCCATAAGATTTGTTGCTCTCCTTATGCAGTGCTGCTATATAGCGCTGTGGTGGCTGGTGCTTTAGTATATGAGAGAACAAATCATTTGTCTATTAGTGTTCCAATAAGCTGTCTTTTGAACTTTTCTAGCACCCTGTCATCACTCACTGACCTCCTTGTGACCACTTCTATTGAATGGTAGAGAGTGAGGTGAAATAGAATGAGGTTCTCCGCCCTCTGTTTCATTACCCTAATATGATACCTAATAAAAAAGCAGTCCTTTGTAGTGCAGTGATATCAAAGAGATTCTACTCCT